GAAATGAGAGGTAAGATGTGATCCAGCTGGCAGGAGCTCAGAGACAAGGGCACAGAGGCAGGTACACAAAAATCACGCACATCGTTGATGTGCAAGGAACAGTGGGGACACAAAGGCAGAATTTGACTCTATTTGGAAAAAGAAGAAAAGATTTCAATTTTCTTACCTCAGGGTGAAAAGCAATTTATATGTTTAAAACTTAAAAAAGTTTTTGATTTTTTGATTTGGCATTGGTTGTTAAGTTGGGTTATGGCGCAGATTTTCAAGAAGACTTGGCAAAATTGTCACCTTAAAGGCTGATACTGTTGGTGCAATTTTTTATGTTAAATCCCACATTTAGGGTGAGGAAATAATGTATCCTGATCTATGCTGATTTAGGCTGGCAAATGATTAGAAGATTGACACCCCTTTTCTCACCAACCACAATTTTTAAAAGGAGTCCATTTTTCAATTTGTGCAATCTCAGCATAGGTTGAGAAGACAAGGAACAGCATGAGAAATGAGGCTAATTTTGCTCTGCTTAAAACTGATTAGAAGAGCAAGTTTAGCTGCCTTTATCAGAACTGCCCCTCTGATAAGTGTGATATTGCAGCTTTTATGACAACTATGACATAGGCAGGAGGAATACGTGACCCATTTTACTGGAACAAAGTAGAATACAAAATATGCCTACATGTAAATAAAATATTAGAATAAAAAGGGAGAAGTTCCATGAGAAGCGTATAAGCAGTTTAGAAACTATTTTGCACAAAGAGAAGAAAGGCAAGGAACAGGTTAACTTTGAATCTAATGTGAATTACTGTAAAGGGAGATGGACGAATGTCTTTTATGAACAGAGGAAGGTAACTCCAATTGAAGCAAAAGAACTTAAAAGTAGTAAAGGGAAATGGTTAACTAAATAAGAGGGTTACTCTGCTTTATAGAGTTTCCTGTGAAGTTTTAGGATCAATTTTTATTTATGAAGAGTGAGTTAGAAGTAAGCCTGTCTAGAGACAGAGAGTTGGAAGCAGAGACTTTAAGAGTTCTTCCAGCTCTAGATTCAGGCATTTGTTTCATCAACCTCTCTCTCCTACAGAAAGTATAATGTGGATGTTTCTGGCCAGTGGGTGGCCTTCCATGTGGTCATTCAGAAACCCAGACTTCTTCCATTTTGTAGTTCCACCATCCCCTAGAGCCTCAGAATTCTTTGCTGGACCTTCTGCATCCAGCCGGCAGAGAAGGAGAGAGTATAGAGGATCATGTGGAAGCTTTTATGAGCCAAGCAACATTGAAATGGCAAATGTCAAGTAGGTAGGCCTGGTTCATGGCCACATCTTACCACAAGGGAAACTGGGAAATGTTGTCCATCTACGTGCCCAGGAGGCAGAGGAAACAGAGTTTGGTGAGTACGTCATAGTCTTTGCCTGCATGGTCTTTGCTGAAAGCATATGACATGACCAGCTCTGTGCGTCCTGCTAGGACCCAAGCACAAGACAGACTCCTGCCTTTGACGCACAGGTGGATAATTTCACAACTGTGCGGTAAGAGCAGGAGCATACCAAGCATAGGATGTGTGAAAACTTAGAGGACGTACTTAGCCCAGCCTGGAGAAGAATTGGAAGGCTTCCTGGTAGAGGCAATGCTTTTGCTGAGTATTGAGGATGGGTAGAAGAGTGGGAGAAAGAGAATGAGGGAAAAGTATTTTAGGCAGAAGCAACAATCAGAATAAAGAGTGTGGGAGGGAACTACAAGCAAATCAATATTATTAGAGTATAAAGGGATGGGCAGGGAGGGGCAGGAGATGACGCTGCAAGGGCCTTGCCTGGGGAGCCCGGCATGCTATCTGGAGGCATGTAGACATTTTCAATAAGCAACAGGAAGAAACTGGGGGACTTGAAAGAAGGACTGGTACATGAGCAGCTATGCATTTAATAGAGGTCACTTTGGTAGCTGTATTCAGGATGGCTTTGATGGAGGCAAGACTTGGAGAACAGTTTGGATGTTTTTGCAAATGTCCAGGCAGAGATGATAAGGGCTTAATCTAGGTTGTAAATGAAGGATAAATTGCAAGAAATATGAATGACTTAAAATTGAGAAGATTTGCTAATTGTTTAAATGTGAAGATTAAAGGAAAAAAAGGAACCTGCACTGGTCCCAGGCTTCTGGCTTGAGTAACCCTGTAACTTGCCTTTTCATTAACTGACAGGACATATAGGTAGAGTCATAGGTTTGAGAAAAGGTGAGTGCAGTTTGGGAGTTGTCCAGTTATCTATTGTGTAACAAACTACCTCAAAACTCAGTAGCATGATCCATGTGGAAACGTCTGCTCCTCATTCTTTTGGGATCAGGAATATATTCATAACATGCTACATTAATAAAGGAGTTCTCAGGGCTGCCAACTTTACAGTAGAGGTTGAGTGGTAGTGTATTTCTTCTACATAAAAGAAGGAAAAATAACCTAGTGGCATAAAACTACCACCAACTTACTATGCTCATGGATTCTGTAAACTGAGAAGTTGGACAGGGCTGAGCAGGGGTGATTTATCTCTATTCTAAGGTCTGGGGCTTTGGTTGGAGAAAGTCATATGGCTGGGGGCTGGCATCACTTGGAGATTTCTTCACTTACTGCTGGGGCATTGGTGGAGAGGCTGGAAGGCTGAGTTCAGCACTGTGAAAGGTTTAGCGGCATCCCTGGCCTCTAGCCACTAGATACCAATAGCATCCCACCCACCCAGTGGCAACAACCAAAATGTCTTCCTGACATTGCCAAATACCTCCTGTGGGACAACTGTCTCCTGTGGTTGAGGATGGGTAGGCTATGAGTCTGAAACTTAGCCAGGACTGGAAAGAGACATTTCCAATCATCTGCAGGTAGGTGGTCTGTGGAGCCATTGCAATATAGGAGATGTTTCAGGATGTGTGGAGTGAGAATATCAGGGGTTCAAGGTTAGAAGGATGGGCCCATATTGAAAGATATGAGGAAAAGAAGAGAGAATATTAAGAACAATCAAGAGAGATAGTAGGAAAACCAAGAAAGACTGGGAAGAGTGGTGCAGTGGCTATTGCAAGTGTCTTCCCGGCATCCTGTCTCCACTCTTTTCAGCTGGGCCCAGCCTCTTGGCCACAATGACTGCTCCATTGATGGGCACATTACACAAGCCAGCCCATGTAGTCCTTCCCTGTGATTTTACATTGTGAGCCAGGGAGCAAGGTGTTTCTTTCTTCTTGTGTGCTTGTATTGAAACAATATAAATCCAGAAGGGCCTGGGGGGTGCTCCTTGCCACATGGCAAAGGTTTGGCTGAGTGGGTTTAGATGCACCATGAGTTAATAGTGACCACCTGGGCCTCCCAGCTCAGGAAGAGGCTCTTCAGGGAAGTCGGTGGGAGTATTCTCACACCTGAAAAGGATTTTGGGGCCGCCTAAGACACCTTACACTTCCTAAAGTTTTCTCAAACTTTTGTCAGCTAGTGCTTCTCTGTGGAACGCTAGAAGACCAGAGAAGCTGCACCAAAAGCATCCCTTCCATGCTGTCTCTGTCTTACTGCAGACTTCTGAGCTAGATAAGTCATGAAATTATGCCAAATACACACACATGCAACTTGTGAGTTGTGCGGGAGCTTGATGAGCAGCAAGCAACCCAATACACTATACTGGTGTGTCACAGTGTCATCTATGGTAAAAGAAAATGAACCCAGCAGCAGAGGGAAGCAGAGAAGACAGCTGAGAAAGACTAACGTTTTGGTAGCATTTGAGCCCATGGACTCAGTTATCCCGGAAGCCAGATCCAACCATGCCTTTCTTGGTCTGTGAATCAATAAATGCTCTTAAATTGGATATCTTTCTGTTGCAAATGCAAGTGTCCTAATACAGAAACTTGAACCAGGAATGGAATGATAGACCTAAAATGTGAAATCAGTTGAGTGAAGATAGGGAAGATTGAAAAACTGGAATTCCTGTGATACAGAAGTGAAGCAGCTGTCACCTAGTATATTTTATGTCTCGGGTAATGCCCCAACCACCCTAACAACAGGAACATTATAGACTTGATAGAAAGGCATCAGAATATGGGAGTGAGAACTAGGAAAGCCGCTATGTCCCTAAGCCCTCCCAAACACCTCCATCACTGCAGCTCCTGCCTAACAAGGGTCATAATCTCTCCCCATAATCAGCTTTGGATGTGTTCTTGGCAATGAAGGCAGTTGGCAATTGTTGCACTTTTCTAAGAGTCAGAGACCAAGACAGATGAGGTTAATCTAAAGCCCAGGGGAATGAGATGATTTCTGCAATTGCTGCTAAGCGACTGAAACCAACGAGGTGGGGAATCCAGATTCAGAGACGCTGATTTAAGATTTTTGGCATTTGTTACTAGCCAATTTTACTAGCCACCCCAAATTATACAATCAGGCCACTACTGAGCATTTCAAGCAAACTTTATTGCTTCCTTAGCAAACAAAGATTATGATTGCTCAGTTCTTAAGATGACCCTCCAAGTCCCCAGAAGAGAAAGTGAGTTGTTAATGCAGTAGAAACCCCACCAGAGGCAGTCTTCTGACCATCCTTAAGCATGGTGGCAAAGGACAGGGGAGATCCTCACAGCAGAAAGGCTCTGGAGCATCCAGATAGGCTGACTAAGGAACAAACAAGAGAAGGAAGCCAACAGAGATCTCACTGTTCCTGTTTATCACCCTAGAGGATGTCGCTTCCTCCTTCGTAACCCATTTCTAAATGTAGCACGGTCTTGCCTCTCTTCCTTCCCTACCAACTTCCTCTCTCCATATGGAGACCACCATGTTATTACTAGACTCAGGTAAGTCTTCTATTCCTCTGTCTGCTTAACAATAACTCAACTATACTGCAACCATACATATAACCTACAGAAAATGAAAGGCCCATAACCACACAGGGGTTATTTCTCCATTCTAATAATCCTTGAGGGGCCTAGCAAAAACCCATACCCATCTATATAAAAGAGCTGTCATTTAAAGTAAGTGTAACAACAGAGACAGACATGAAACAAAAAAGATTTTATGTAACATTTATTTTTTAATCTCATCCTAATTTTGGCTTTAACTCTCACCTCCCATTTCCATTCTTTTCTTGGAAATACAAACTTTTTTTTTAAACAAAATGTTTAAAATCATGATTGTCTAGAATCATAATAAAACATTCTTCTCTTCAAAGAGAGGGGAAACACACAACGTTTATTCTTTTGCAGCATTTTCAAATATGCATGTCAATATATATCTTATAAACTATTTAAAATAAAAAACCCTTCATCCTTTGAGGTTATTGACATTTTCTAGTTCACTGACACATCTCCTATAATACAATAATTCTATTCATTTTCATGAATGAGGTGGGAACTATACTAACAAATAGGATTTTAATCCCTGAGGTGCCAGTTAAAATGGACGAGGTTGCCATTGCAACACAAGATGTAAAAAACCAGCCTTAAATAATAAGCATGGATCATGCAGTCTAAATCAGCATCACCTCCATAGCGTGGAGTCATTTAGAAAATTGCATTTACTGTGTTAGGTTTACCCTGCTATTCTCAGCCTTCATGCTATGCCAATCTTTCCTTTCGTAAAGGAATAACACATAGCAATGAAGTCTGCAGAAACTTCTGAGATCCTCAGAAATCGAGAGAAACCATAGTCCTGTTTCTCCAATCTCCATCCACACTGTTGGAGAGGGGTTTTCAGCACCATTCCAAGACCTGGAAAGGTTGATGAACAGACTTGGTTTTTCTATGTTTCCATAGATTCAGTCAAAAAGGAGAAATCAGTCCTCCTTGCTAGAAAAAGGGCATGTCTTGCTTTTCTCTGCAGCCATCATCTTAGCACAGCTGGGTTCAGGTCCTTGTGCCCACAGTCCCTGCGAAGCCTCCCCCTTCCAGGCGGCTTCCAGCAGTTTCCGGGGTTCTGGCTGCTTCCCTAGTAGTAGCGGTTCAGGCTCCTGGTCCCAGGCACCTCGGGCTGGCCGTTCATCCAGATCTCCCTGATGATGCGCTCGCGCTCCTCCAGCCTCTGGGCGCGCTCCAGCTCCTCCGCCGAGGTGAACACGTTCTTGTTCAAAGTCCTCTCGAAGCGGCGGTGTCTCCGCACTGAGAGATCCGACGCCGTGTCTGAGCTGCCGTCCTCGCTGTCGCTGGTGTCGCTGCTGCTCTCTGGGTCCTGCAGGAACTTCTTCCCTCGACGCCGCCGGCAGTCTGTGTGGCAAGAGATCCTCATCACCAAGGCTGCCAGGGTCAGCACCAGCCCGATGCACACGCCAGACACAAAGTACAGAGCTGCCCGCTCAGGGTTTTCTGGAGGGAGAGGAGGAGGAAGCAAGTATTTGAGAGATGACATCTGTATATGCAGAGACCAAACAGGACTCCCAGCAGGCCCCAAAGCTTTGATGGTTACAAATACTGCCCTCCCATGTAAAAAATTTCATAATATATTCAAATATAATTATTGATCAAACAGTGAATCTGTAAAGGGTACATGAGATTCTTTTATTCTTGTGTAACTTTAACTTTGAAATTATCTTCAAATGAAAATAGAAAAGAAAGAAAAACTGTAATTACTTAGCACCTACTATATGCAAGCAACTGTGCTCAGGAGGCTTTTAAGAGGCGCTTCTGTCTAAAGCCGCTTTTCACCCATACGAAAAAATCTCTTCTTGTAAATCTGCTCCTGCAATCCTTGAATTTCCTTTTCATCACAGTACTGAGTAGTTTCCGAGCTGACCTCCCCCTTCTGGTATTCAGGCCTTGTGCAATCCCATCCCTTTAAGGGCTAGACCTAGCGACTCCTAAGAAATGCAATCGACCCTTGAATAACATGGGCTTGCACTGCACAGGTCCATTTTTAAGCAGAATTTTTTCAGCCATCTACAGGGATGAAATACAGTATTCACAGGATACGAAACCCGCATATAAGGACGGCTGACTTTTCAAATACGGGGCTGCCGCAGTGCCACAGGGTGGACTTCAGGACTTGAGTATACATGCATGGATTTGGGTATACGCAGGGATCCTGGAACTAATCTCCCACATATACCAAGGGACGACTGAGGAATATGGCAAAAGCAATGAGTGATTCTAACATTAAGTTACATAAGACCGTGACTTCTTGCTCTTGCTCTTGCTCTCTCCCTCTCTGTGGCTTTTCTTACTTGCTGGCTCTGAAGAAGCCAGCTGCCATGTGTGAGCTGCCTTACAGAGAGGTCCAAGTGACAGGGAACTCTGGCCAACAGTCTTCAAGGAACTGAATGGTGCCGAAAGCCACCTGAGTAAGCTTGGAGTGAATATCACTTGGCCTATCCCTGAGGTGAGCGCAGCCCTGGCCTTGCGGCAGCCTGTGAGAGACCTTGAACCAGAGAACCCAGTTGAGCCACACCCAGATTTCTAACCTGAAGAAACCGAGAGATAATAAATATATGTTATTTTAAGCTACTAAGTTTTGTAGTTTTGTACACAGCAATAAATAACTTATGCAATCAATCACACACTGAAAGCCAGTGCAGGCATTTAGGAATGGCCTTAGCAGGTTAACCAAAAGGAATCTGATTGAGCTCTTTTCCTTTGTGAAAGAAGAAAATAGTCATTCTGTTGATGATCAAAATGCTTAGCGGATCCGTGGTGACTCCTGCAAGGTGTGCTCAGTGAGAGTCTTTGGGTGAGCAGCTTTGCTTTCTAGGTACGTGTGAGGACACAGAGACATTCCTGGCCTTGAGTCAGGACCCAAGATAGACAAATTAATTTTCCATATTCTGTATTCACTTGTAAGTATAATCAAAATATACATTGTTTTATAGGTTTTAAGAATATAAGTGGAATCACAGATGATACGTATTTGCTTTTTAAATTTAAGAATATTTCTTAGAGAGATTTCCAAATATGTGTATTTAGCTTAACAGCACTTTTTTTGACTGCTGCACAGTGTTCTGTAGCACAGATAGACCTGTCAAAGTTTATTCAACCATTTCCTTATTGACAACATATAAATTGTTTCCAATTTTTCACAATTACAGTCAACACTAGAGTCACTGTCCTTGGGTCCTTATACACATCTCTTCATGAAAAACAGAATTATTTCTACAGGTTAGTTATTTAGAAAGTGAACAGCTGCATCAAAAAGCATAGGCATTTTGAAGTTTTATGCATTCTAAATTCTGTATCCAATAAAAGGCACTATGTGTCTAAACACAGCATATTGAACGCATGTGTTAACAATCCATCCTTCCCTCTGAAGCCCCATCAAAATGACAGTAATATGGATAAAACAGACATAAATTACAAGTACAAAGAGTAGTGTGGAGAAGAAAATAGAAACAAGAATAGGTGATAATAGTCAACAAATGGATTTAAAGTGCAGAAAAGGAGACTGAAAGTGAACTCAGTCAGCTGGTATTCAGCAAACACTGAGAGGACCAAAGAAGCCCTTGCCTTGAAGAACCAACAGTCCAGCGGGGAAGGAGGCCCACCCTGTTCCACTGCAAAAGAGAAGTGCTATGATAGAAGAATGAAGAGGGATCTCTGGAAACACAAAGGCAAGCAGGAAGCTAAGATCAGATGTGGGGGTCTGAGAAGCCTTTTTAGAAAAGATCATTCCTGAGCTGAGAGTTGAAGGCTTGAGAAGGGTTAGCCACGTGACGATTAGGAAAAGTCTTCCAGGCAAAGGGAACAGCACGGACAAAGCACAGAGGTGTGAAAAAGCATGTCTGTGTGGGAAAGTATAAGAGGCCTGGAACAAATCTGCAGAAAAAATGTTAAATTCCTCTTTTCTGTGGCAGCCCTTTAAATATTTGGAAATGACTATCATATAGCTAGGTTTCAAAGAACACTGGTTGATATTCAAACATCACAGTCACTCTTTAAACATCGTAATATTCTAGCATAGAAAGTAATAGAACCATAACCTCCTCCATTGTAGACACTGACAAACAACCCTAAATCATGTCTTTATCACCAACTCGCAATATTCTCATGTAGTGAACTTGTCAAATAAACCCTGTTAAGTCTTTAACAAAGGTAATGGCATTAAGTCTTGTTTCCCTATTAAAAAAAATACTGCTTATTAGGATTCTTTTCAATTCAAATACAAAAACTTCACTTTGTTTTAGCCTGTTTTTTTTTTAATTAATTAATTAATTTATTTATTTTTATTTCAGGATATTATGAGGGCACAAACATTTTTGGTTACATTTTATGACTTTGCCTCACCCAAGCGAGGATTAGAGGCATGCCCTTCCCTCTACAATACTCACCGTGTCCATTAGTTGTGAGTTTACCCCCCTCAAACCTCCTAATCCCTGGAGACTATTACTATCGTGTGAGCACCACAGTGTCGATCAGTTAGTGCCAATTTGATGGCGAGTACAAGTGGAGCCTATTCTTCCGTTCTTGTGATACCTCACTTCAGAGGATGGGCTTGAGCTCTATCCAGGAAAACAGAAGAGGTGCTAGATCACAATCATTTCTTATAATTGAGTAATATTCCATTGTATACATATACCCAATTTTAATAATCCACTCATGAATTGATGGGCATTTGGGTTGTTTCCACATCCTTGCAATAGTGAATTGTGCTGCCATAAACATTTAGGTGCAGATGTCTTTATTATAGAATGTCTTTTGCTCTTTTGGGTAGATGCCTAATAGTGCTGTTGCTGGATCGAATGGTATTTCTATTTTTAGCTCTTTGAGGTATCTCCAAATTCTTTTCCACAGACACCAGCAAACATATAAAAAATTGCTCAACATCTCTAATCATTAGAGAAATGCAAATCAAAACCACAATGAGATACCACCTAACCCCAGTGAGATTGGCCTCTATCAAAAAAATCCCAAAACAACAAATGCTGGTGAGGATGTGGAGAGACAGGAACACTCTTACACTGCTGGTGGGACTGCAAATCAGCCTGGTTTTAAATTTTTAAGGTTTTTTATCATCGTAATATTGTCATCTAAAATAATCTCTCAGAGCCTACCATTGAACCACCAAAACCAACATGTATAACTCCATCGAAAATGATGTGAAAATATTGAACAGGACAGTGACCTGTAACAAGCTACTAAACTGGCCACTGGGTTAATATTGACCTGCCCCGTAAGAGGGAGTCTTGTGGTCTTCGGGAGGTGTGAATTTACCTAATCGGCCCAGCATTCAGCCCAGGTGTCTCCACCCTATCCTCATGCTCACGAAATGCCCCAGTGATTCCCTGGTCTCCTAGGGCTGCTTACCCTGACAATGTGCCTCCATCATAAATGGCCCATTGCCTGACTTACTGTCAGTTCCTTACATCTCTCTCCCTACTAGACTAGATGCTTTCTGAAGACAGGAACTGAATCTTATTTAATTCTTTGAATTTCTAGAACTTACAAAAATTGTCCACATTCCTACAATTTCATGAAATCCATTATATCATCAGTCCCAATCTCTAAAATAGTCCCCTTTTTCTTTTTCTTCTCATCCTTCCTGCCTTCCTCTATCTCCTCCTTTCTTCCTCTTTTGGTTGTCTTTTATGAACTAAAAGGCAGAAGCAAAAAGAGGTATTGTGATTTCTTTAAGCCCCAGGATAAGTAGAAAGGCCCAAGAAAACAAGTCCAAGTCTGTTTAGTTCCAAAGCCTATTCCCTTCGCGTCACCTGCTGCCTCTGTGGTACCAGCATCGATGGTGAGGTGCCATCTACTGCCCAGGGCTGTTGGGAAGATCAGTGTGGATAATGCATGTGAAAATTTCATTTCTGGGTAAATAAAAGGCAGCTTCCTCAGAACTCATTTGCTTACCCACTGGCATACTCCTATGCCAGGTGCCATAGGGTCACAGAAAAGGCACTACCTCTATCCTTAGGTTTACATTTTCCCTCAGGAAATAATGATCAGGATAGCCCATGAATCTGTATTTATCTATGATCACCTCATGTCTCCTGACCATCATTAACATGCACAATGTGTACAAAAACATGCTATCTGATTACAGGCTGGAATATGCCTGAGCCTTACCTAGATTCTAGAGCAACTTAGAAAATTCTTAAGCCTTCAGATACAGCGGTCATGTCTTGGGACAAGTAAAAGCCCTGGACTTGGCCTCCCATGATTGAGTTAAATCCAATAACTTGCTTTTCTTTTGTACAGTGGGAGGAAGACTCTCTCATTTATCAGTCAAATGACCTTGAGCCAATCACAACCTCACTGAACTCCCAAGTGTGACAGGAGAAACATGCACACAGCAAAACTAACTGGAACTGAGAGAGACTCAGCGGAACCACGGGTGTGTGAATGAGGCCCCTCTGGGGCAGGTGCGGAGAGTGCAGAGT